AGTGACTTGCACTTTTCAAAAAGTCATCAACCTTTGATTTCTATAATCGATTTCAATTTTGTGGATGAGGAAACCAGGGCTCAGCAGGCAGCTGCTTGGCTAGGCTCACAAGGGTAGCCTGTGAAAGGGGACCAGGACTCAAGTTCCTGCAAAGCTGGTTGTTAGTCCTGTCTTTCCTATGCTCTAAGATGTTTTATGATTGTTAAGAAGGCTTCGCTTGTGAGTTCATCATCAAGAGTTCACAATTGTAGGGGCCATGGCTTAGCTGCTAAAAGACTTGTTGTATGAGAATCAGGACCTCAAATTGGATCACTAGTTCCCACAGAAAAGCCACAAGTTGAGATGTGATTCTGTAATCTCAGAAAACAAAATAATTTTATGTTTGGGGTTCACCATATCATGAACTGTAATAAAGGACAATAGCATCAGAAGGTTGAGAACCACTAATCTACTGAGCCCTATGTCTGAGAAATCTAGAACACTTGAGAGTGAACTATAAGTGAATAGCAGTTTACTCTTTCTGGCTCACTTTCCTTGCTCTCCTGTCTTACAGGGTAACATAAGTTCTCTATGGGCTCTTTCATGCATTAGTTGCTATACCTGGTTATGAGTAATGGATGGAATGATCAGGGTATAGCTCATGGAAACCAAAGACCTCAACATGGCTGGGATGGAGTGGGGAACTCAGCTGCTTCATATTTATTTCAAAGGAAACGCTTCCTCTGTCTCCTGGTCCCTTTAGTGGGCAGGAGAAGCCTTCAGACCTGCCAGAGTGTGCCCACAGGTCAGCCACGGGCGGAGACCATCCTTCCTGGTTCCCATGCTAGCTGATTCACTGTGGCTCCCCTTGGAGCATTTAGCCATCATCAGTCCAAAGAACTGCACTGAGTCCACAGACTTGCCCAGCACAGATGTGGCTGCTGGTGTCTGACTTGTCCCTGAGAGGAGAAGGGTCAATGTCCAGAGAAGGAAGAAGTCCATGGTACCATGATGGATAAGTGCCTTCCAGAGGTATCTGATCCATTAGGTTTAGATGCATTCATCCATCATAAACTTACGACTGCTGCTGATGTGGTAGCCACTGTTCAGGGTTAGGCAAGGTGAGTTCCTCAAAGCCTTGGCCATCGATTGTCCTCTGCGGATGGTCCTCTGCGATTGTCCTCTTCTGTGGGTGCAAACTGAGCACTTGTCAATTCACCTAGTCTTGTTCTCTTAATCCTTTCCCTTCCCGTTGGTGTCTTTCTCATCTACCAAGTATTTATTGACCCCCTCTATTTGCTGACACTGTGCCTGTTTATTTGGGGGAGTTATAAGCATATACTTGGCTTTTGTGAGGTGGTATCTGCAAAATGCATTAACTCAGGGTTTGTCTCAGGAGTCCAAATTTGAAACCTTCACCATAATGGGCTCTGCTATATATGGCACAGTGTTCCCCTTAGGCAATACAAATTTGTGTTCTTTTGAAAACGTATCTTCCAGCCCAGGGGTAGGTCAAGATGAGGTCATGGCGGTAGAAGAATTTATCCGAATCTTGGCATTAGGGAACTCTTGACTTTTTCTTCATAGACTCAAATCTCCCAGTCTGGCTCCGGTGAGTAAAGGAAGGTTAGCACTGTGGCATGCTAGGAACTTGGGAGAGTCAACGTCAGTCTTGTTCTTTACCTCTTATTTGTGTCAATAATCTTTTGCCATTATTAGTACTTATCAGATTGTAAATGTTGGGTAAACTATTGTTCTCATGCTTTTATCATTTTTAATCATGCCTATGTGTGTGTAAATATGTCGCATGCTTGCAAGTGCCCATGTAGACCAGTAGTATCAAGTTGCCTAAAACTGGATTTATAGGCCATTTTGAGCCACCTAACAAGGGTGCTAGGAACCAAACTCGAGTCCTCTCTAAGAGTAGTATGTACTCTTAACTGCTTGCCATTACTATGTTGTTCCTATCTCATCCCAGTCTGCTTTAAACCTCAGGTAACTCATTCTCTCCCCTTATAACCCACACAACCCGTTTCCCTCTCTCAGAAGACAGTCTTACCATTTCCTTCTGGCATGTTTTTCATTCTTCACTCAAGCCATGCACTTACTGGCTTGCAGCTAGACTGCACAGCGGATCTCTATACAGCCAGCTTGCTTCTGTCTCCTGCTACTTTGTCCATTGCTGATGAACGCTCATCGTTCTTGCTTCGACATTGTCTGTGCCCTTCTAGACCCTTTATGTCATCTGCAGTCTGCCCTGGCTCTATTCCCAGAGTTTCTTTTCTGCTCTTCCTCAGTTTGAACCCTCAACACGGATTTATTTTTCAGTTGGCCCCCAATACAACTTTTGTCTACTTATTATTCAATTGGGCTTTCATCCACAATGCCCTCCTCTTTCCTAACGTAAGGGTTTATGTCCAGCTTGTAAGGGTCTTATATCTTCCAACCACTTCTCCAATCAAAGCAGAAAGTCATGGCCTCTGACCTCGCTCACCCTTCAATCCCACTCTTAGTTACTTGGTTAAAGCTGTCACTCACGGCTAGGTAGCTCTAATGGTGTAGACTGTCAATTGATTCTTTACACTTCTTGATATTTTTGATGACAAGAGGTGAGACCTCCTATTTTGTGATCTTAGCAGCATCTTACTGACTTTTCAGGTGTGGCTGCTTATGGGTATCACTTACAAAGCCATACAGTGATGAATCGGGAACTATGTGGTCCACAAAGTAGGAAATAGTGGGCATTCCCTTGGTGATATGGTTTCAGGGATGTGATGCTTAGAGGAATGGAGAGCCACTAAGTGAGTGCAGTCCTGGCAATGGACTGTTTGATCCACACAAATGGTAGGGCTTTCCTCCTCTGTGCCTATCACATAGGTCTATCTGAAAAACTCAAAGCCATCCTTTATGGGTTCCCATCACGTGACAGGCTGTGGAACTCTGGGAGTCTCATTCAGGTGACTGTAGTAGACAAAACAGATCCCTACTGTCCTGGAGCTTGGGCTGTTGGGTCTGGGAAAACATCACCGATAAATACTATCAGGTGATGTAATGAACGCTGAGGCGGAAAACAGCACAGGTTAAGTGGCAGAGAGACAAACTGTCCTTTTCTACCAACTAGTCACAAAAATAGTCTCCATCTGTCTGCAAGTAGCGGGGGCTTTAAAATGCAGCCTGGTTGGGGATAGGGTTCAGTGGTAGAACACGCACAAGGCCCGGGGCTCTATTCCTAGCCTGCAGAAAGAGGAAAATAAAAGAAACTTAAATCAAAACAAAACAAAGCCCATTCTTCCTTGATTGAAATCCAGGAAGCAGAGGCGATGGTGTAGTTAGGATGGAAGTAGACACTCTTGTTTCCTGCTACCCCCTCTCTGCAATGAGAGGGCTTGGCAGTGTCTTCTGGCCAGGGCAGACCCTAGAAAGCAGGTGGCGAAAGGGGAAATGGTGAGGGGATTGGTCCTGCAGTAAGAAATAGCCTGGGTGTGGTGCACCCATTCATGAAGAAGCAGAAAGCAGGTGTGTTTGGCTTGTGAACCCAAGCGTGAGCACCGAAGCCTGAACCTACCACGTTGCTCTGTGCTTTGGGAAAGGGGAAGGCATTACCCTACTGCAGGCTGAACCCTTCTTCACTAGTCTAGAGAGCATGTCAGCTCAGGACACTCACTTTGCCTTTCAGCTTCCCTTTTCTCTTGTTAAGGATTGGAATCCTTACAGTCAAGTTAACACAATGATTTAACCCAACCTTTAGTCTTCCAGATTCTCTCCACGTCACTAACAGGTTTCTGTGTAGCTAGCAAGTGGAAGTTTACTCCAGTAAGATGCATGCTTTTAAAATGAGGTGCAAAATACACTCTTTGTTAGGTAGAGAGGATGGTATTAGTTGGATAAATATTTAAGGAGAACAAAGTTCCACCCGCAGAGTTGGAGTGTGTGCGTGTGTGTCTGTGTTTGCATGAGTGCGGTGTGTATATCTTTTTGCATACACCTCAAGAAAAGTGCCTGGGAGTTTAGCTCACTCAAAGCTTCGAGACAAGGCTTGCTATCAATTTTATAGAACTGGGAGACAGGGAAGCTTGTGTGGGAACCATGGAAACTACTTAAGCAGGGAACTGAGAGCTCGTGTTCTGGACCGGAGCTGGCCATGGTGAAATTGAGCCGCTGGGATGATCTGACTTGTTTGTGAACAACTGCAGAACTCCGAAGGATGGTGGTGGGAGCAAGTTCTGCTCACCTGACTCGGGACCCTGATGCCACAGCGCAGAGGTGCTTTCACCTCCTGTTTCTGTAAATAATGCACTTGGGGCATCTCCCTAGGGCCCAAAACTCAGCTCCTAAGTGGAGTCCTTCGGCTAGGTGGTTGTCTTTTGGCTTTTCCGCTGACTCCATTGGCTAGAGAGGTCTCAGGCAATCTAAAGTGGCCCTTCTGCCTTCGCCCCCAACCTGCCTGGCCAGCGCGGGTACCGCAAGCTACAAACGCGGCCAACTCCATCCTCGCGTGCGCTCTGGGTTGCCGAGACGCACCGGAGCACTGGGATTGGGCTAGCGGGGCCTCCTGAAGGTCCAGGGCGGGGTGAGGTCTCTGGCAAGACCAGATCTAGAGAAGCCTGGGGAACCGTCTCCACAAGTCCAGGTTGGGTGGGGCTTCCGAGGAGGGGCGGGGACTCTACTGGTCCACGGAGGGGCAGGGCGTCAGGCAGGGGCGGGACCTCCGCAAATCCACGGCGAGGCGGGGTCCCTGGGGTGGGGCCTATTCACAGGTCGAGGTGGGGCGTCTCAAGTCACCGAGGGGTGGGTGGGGACTCACAGGTCCAAAGCCCGGCTGGGTGGGGCTGGGCCTGCCGCTGCTGCCTTGGCGGCTGTGGCTACAGTCTAGTCTCCAGGGGCAGCCAAGGTACATAGGCAGCCCTAGTCTCTCCAGAGCATCCTTTGCGGCTGGTCCCCGCCTGCAGCGCGCTCGCAGCCTCGGGCCTGGAGGCTGACTTCTTTTGTGATTTGTTTTCTGCCCCGCGCCTCATCTGCAGGACCCGTTCGTTCTTCTGCGGGCTACAAGAAGGCAGAGGATGAGATGTCCCGGGCCACGTCTGTTGGAGACCAGCTAGAGGCACCGGCCCGCATAATTTACCTCAACCAATCTCATCTCAACAAATTCTGCGACAACCAGATAAGGTAGGAGAAGCTGCAGCTGGGGGGAAGCTCAGCGCTCACCTTCACGGGATGGGTTTTCCATCACCCTGCCAATCCTTAGTCTACTTGCTTTCCCCAACACTTCGCATCTCTTTCTCCTGCACCCACCATGAGCCCAGAGAGGTCCACACTCGGTACCCACCCACCGGGCCATGTGAGCACAGTTGCTGTGTCCTCTCCCTTTGCAGTGCTGTGCCCAGTCCCTCTGTGAGCCCCGCAGAAGTTATTCTAATGCCAAAAAGTGAAGGTGTCCACTGCCTGGACTGCCTTCCAAGAATCCCCACAGTCTCCATGTAACCTCATTGATGGCTGTTTTTGTCGTAGCTCTCTTGAGGAGTTTGCGAAACGTCTGTGGGGAAGTGCTTTTCACGGGGAATCCCACAGGCCACAGGGGCTCACATTCATTTCCCAGGGACCCACTGCATTTGCCAAGGGTCTTATTTGCTAGGAAACTTTGTCCAGAGTCAGCAGGAAAATGATGGGAAGGTAACATTTAGCATTTTAGTGTCTGCCTAATGTCTGTTCTCTGTCTGCTGGCCACTATGTTAGAGGCATTAGCGGTGCCAGCATCTCCAGTGTCTCGTGGAGCAAGCCATTAGCTCCAGATCAGGAAACTGGAGTGCACAGATGTGACATGTTGTACTATGCTCATATTATATACATATATAGCTACTGGGTGGGAAGGCTAGAAATTGAACCTCCTCACCTGACCAGCAAGCACATTCCAGCTGCTGTGCAAAACCTGTTTCTTAGCTTGGTGTTAGCTCACTTTGAAATGTCATTGAACTTTGGGGCTTTGACCAGCTTCACCTCTGAGAGTGATTTCCAAGGATAGTTTTGTGAGCTACATAGATCACCATAATCAGGTCTGGAAGGCACTGATGGATCAGGTCCTGTGCAGGTCATTGAAATGCTGCCTAGTGCACGTGTGATCTCTCTCTCTCTCTCTCTCTCTCTCTCTCTCTCTCTCTCTCCCCCCCCCCTTTGCTAAAACTTTGTTATTGTTACATATCTAACTATTACACTACCCCAGTAATGCCACACTGGCTGCCTAGCTTGCGGCAAGGTCTGTTTGTTGGTCGCTTCTATAGCTGGATAAGATTTGGGAAAGAATAACAACACACCTATGTGCATTTATTTTATTAAGGGAGGGTTGGAGGGATGTCTCAGCCGTTAAAGGCTAGGCTCACAACCAAAACTATTTTATTAAAGGAGCGTCAGGTTGTGTGGCTTTATTTTGTGTTTCAAGAATGCCCTTCGAACACATTTTATATTTAAAAAGTGACACTTAGGCTATCTGAGTCTTCATTCCTGAATACGTAGTCTTGTTTTGAAATACGGGACATTGCAGATATCACAAACAGCCCGTTATAGTTTTACAAATCAGGGTAACTGTAATAAAATAATAGAGGGGAAACTGGAGCCTCATGCATTGTCAGTAAGAATGAGAGATGGGCTGCTGCTGTGGAGAGCGGGTTGGCATGGCTCCAAAAGGATCAGGGGAAAGTTAGCACAAGAGCCAGCAATTCCAAGACTACATACATAGCTAACACACGTGGAAACAGAGGTCCTCACGAACACTTGCACACAGATGCTCATAGCAGCAGGACTATGGTGTCCATCACACACACACACACACACACACACACACACACACACACACGTCTTCAATTGGATGAGTCTATGAAGTGTGGACAAGCCACACAATGGAATATTGTCTGGCTATAAAATGTTACAACATGGATAAAACGTAAAAGTTCTTAAATGAGAGAACAAGCCATGAAAAGTCTCAATTTGTATGCACTGATTTATGTGAAATACCTAAAAGAGAGATGTATCTTGAGGTCCATTAGTGGTTCCTGGAGCTGGTGAAGGAAGGTGACGGTACGGGAGATGCAGAGTGACGGCTGTGTTGCCTGGAGTGATGGCTGTGTCACTCTGAATACACGAAAAGTCACTGGAGCCTGGCATTGGCCATGTAACGCCAAGTCTGAATGCCTTTCATATTTCTATTGAGTTCCTGGCAAAACCCACTAAGGTCATTTTTTTAAAAGTTAAATATTATGCGAGATTAGATTGGAGCATCACTTTAAAAAAACTTTAGTCCTCTTCAAAATGTATTTTTGCTTTTTCCAATTTTGGTATCTCTGTGGTGATTCGGAACAGTGACAATAAAATGGGGATCCCCCACCCCATCCCTAGTTTTTATAGGAAGTATGTTGTTTAGTTTCTTGTCAACTTGACACAGCAAGGGTCACCTGGAAAGAGGGACCCTCAGTTGAGAAAATGCCTCCATTGCCTACAGCAAGTCCACAGAGGACATTTTCTTGATTAATGGTTAATGTGGGTGAGCCCAGCCCACTTGGATAGTATTATCTCTTGACAGGTAGTACTTGGGTGTGTAAGAAGCAGGCAGAGGAGCCATGGAGAGCAAGCCAGTAAGCAGCACTCCTCCATGGTCTCCGCTTCAGCTCCTGCCTTAAGTTCCTTCTCTGACTTCCCATCATGTTGGCCTGAAGACCTTAGACTGAAATAAGCCCTTTGCCCCCACGTTGCTGAGGTCTTGTGCTTATCACAGCAGTGGAAAGTGAACTAGGAGCGGAGACAAACATTTAAGAGCAATGGGACCTCAATACTTGTCTCTGTCAGGGCTGGTTTTAGAGGGATTCCAACGGGTTACACGATAGTTTTATTTGTTCTTTTTTATCCAAGAAGGGTTTGGAATAAGTGTGTGTATTGAACTGGCTAGGAATAAAGCAGGCATGTATCAGCTGTACAGCTGTATGGTTGAATTCATTTAAATGTATCATACTAAGTATTAAAATGTCAATTTCTGACTTTGTGGCTTATCCGACCTAGGCTAAGAACTTTACAGTGAGGTCCTTGAGCTTCTGTGTTCCATTGGTGCAATAGCATTGGTGCTATTAATGGATTTGCTAATGGTTGTCAATGACTTGTACTTCATTAGGAACTGATTACAAAGCTTGACCTTAGAGTTTTGGCTTTTACAAAACACTGAGGTATGGAACTGGGGCACTTCAGTGATGCTAAAGTCAACTCTACAAAACATTGATTTTTTTTTAAAAAAAAAACTAAGCTATTCAAGGGAATGTTTTCATAAAAGGGAATTGCTAAAGAATTTCTTTTTCTTCTTATAATTTTTCCATGTGAAATTGATATTTTTTCATGGGCAAGAACGGGGGAGGGTGTTTTCTCAGACCACCCTCTCCCCCTCGTGCTGGGGATGGAACCTGCCTTACACACTCTAAGCAATGCTACACACCTAGGCATGTTGTCTCTATTTTAAGCTTTTTGGAAAGAAAAGATCCCAGGGGCAGCTGAGGATCCTGATGGTCCATTGATGGGGTGTCTTTTCGAAGCCTGCCTTCTCCAGGTCAGGGTTCTCTGACTCCCCCCACACCAGGCCCTTTCTGACTGAGAATTACTCTGTACTTGCTTTTGCAGGTACTTGACAAGGTTGTATTTAAAGACAGGGAGGAAGGGGGCTGTTGAGCATCTGGGGAAGTGCATGGAAGATGTTGTGCTGTACTTGAGCATCGGAACTGGTGGGACTCAAGGGAGAGGCTTGACCTGGAGGATGGCTTGGAGAACGAGTGAGCAGTCATATCTGGTTGGCCCTACACTTCTGGGGAATGCCCTACATGGGAATTCTAAATTTTGGTCAATCAGTTTAGTCCCGAGAGCTGTGTCATGTGTATGTGATGTTGTATCTGATCTGCTGCTTGCTGACGGTTTCCACCAGGAAGCCAGGAAATCAGCATCGTCACCGTGGTGGTCAGCTTTGAAGCAGCACCTTTCTCCTAGGCGTGGGTCTCACCTAAGAGGACAATGATTTTCGTCATTGTGTAGAAATTAATGGTCAAGCTGGGCGTGGTGACGTATGCCCTTGATCCCAGCACTTGGGAGGCAGAAGCAGGTGGATCTCTGGGAGTTTGAGGCCAGCCTGATCTTCATCGTGATGTCTGGGACAACCGGGGCTACATACTGAGACCCTGTCTCAAAACAAAACATCAAAACAAACAAAAAGAAATGGATGGCAATTAATGGGATGTTTCAGTGTTCTTATACTTTGGGAGGACTGTGCACCTAACAAGATCTCTTTTCTTTGGCCTACTCTCTCATCTCCTTTTACACATTCAAGTGCATACTTGAGACACCTAAAGTTATAGCTCAGTGATGTTTTTGTTTAATTATGGAATTGTGTAACCATTATAATTGTAAAATTTAGACCATTTATGTCACTTGAAGAAGAAACTGTACCATCACCTGTCAATCATCCTTCTCCCTCACTGTACCATCACCTGTCAATCATCCTTCTCCCTCACTGTACCATCTATCTGTCATCCTCCTCTCTCCCCTCTGCCTCTTCCCTCCCCCTCCACACCTAAATAACCACTAATCTACTTTATGTTTTCCTGTGTCAGGCATTTCCCATGAATGGTACCATATCCTCCTATGTAGTTTATTTAAATTAAAGCGTAACAAAAACTTGCTCTGTAGAGGGATGTGATGATAACTCTTTAGTTGTATATATCTTGGCATGATTTTCCAAAGGAATGATGGACAATGCTTGTGGCCCCACAGTCAGCAGCATGTCATCTTTCTCTGTGGCTATCAGTGTGTGTCATTTGGAATTCTGGCTTTCTAAGCTGTAAGGAGTTTTCATGTTTGGAGTCAGGTCTTCAGTGCAAGTTTTAGACACTTCATTTGGGTTTGGAGTGACTCATGCATTTCAGGTGGGTGTTTCAGTGAGCAGCGTTCTGCAGGAGAGCAAGGGAGCTGTGTCAGATTAGCGTGTTTCTTCAGGCTGCTTTTTCTTAAGGGAAAGCTTTCTATTTAATGTAAATATATATTGCTGTCTTTGCAATGTAAGTTTAAAATAAAGTCTCACCTGTCTAGAGAGAAGAACTGAGCATCGGGTGCTGGGTGTATATAGGATCATCATTTTAAGAAGCAGGTTA